TAAAAAAAAGTTTTACTTTCAGCCTATTTTTGAGGCTGAATTTAAGATGTAAACGGAGTCAGCCCCGTTAAACAAGGACAGACTTATGTGAAATACATGGGCTGAATTTAAGGTGTAAACGGAGTCAGACTTTTTTTTTACTGTGCATTTATCATTTGGTTTGTATATATATTATATTATTTTAATAATAAATATTTATTAAATATTATTTAAAATATTTATTAAATAAATATTAATTATTACTTATACATTTGAAAACAAAAATTATAACCTTCATTAATATTATAAAATTAAGGAGGCAGAAAGGAGCGACAACCTTAAAAAAATGAATTAATCATAAAACCAAAAATTATATTTTTCAAAAAATTTTAAGTTTTTCTATTCTTGAAATTATATTATTTTTATCATTTTCACTTTTAAATTAGTCAAAATGACTATAATTTTTGAATAAAATTAACTTTACAAAATAGGGAAATTACAATAAAATTACTGTAATTAAAAATATTATTATATTAGAAACATAATGAACATATTCATTATATATACAGCATATTTATACATAACATAATGAGGTATTATAGTCATTTTGACTAATTTAAAAGTGAAAATGATAAAAATAATATAATTTCAAGAATAGAAAAACTTAAAATTTTTTGAAAAATATAATTTTTGGTTTTATGATTAATTCATTTTTTTTAAGGTTGTCGCTCCTTTCTGCCTCCTTAATTTTATAATATTAATAGAGGTTATAATTTTTGTTTTCAAATGAACACGAAAAAAAATAATTCGGAAATAGTTCCTGAATTCGTTCCGAAATTGAGGATATGAGCAAAAGTCGGTAATTATTATAGAGCTGTTATTTGGAAGAAATGTCGAACTTTCAAAATAGATATTCAGGAATTATATGGTAAGAACTCGGTATTTATGTGATAGTTTTTACGAAATGTAGCGGCTGAGTATTTCAGATAGTCTGGACGGTAGAACTTCCGATTAGTTCGGGAAAAATTCAGAGGGTCGCTTCATATATGAAGAAGCTCTTATAAGGGCTACAGATTACAGAATAGTTCCGGAACAATTCCGTAGCAAAGAAAATAAAAAAAGAAGTTGTGTATACGCGTATATACTTGATCGACATTCGTCAAGCAAGGCGAACTGTGATTGGTTGAGGCATAGAATTATTAGAATAGAGTGCGCGAGTTATACCTTTTACCGTGAGAGGCATTCTTAGGCGCATAGAAAGAGACAAAAGCATGAAAGTAGACCCCTATTCTTACCTTGTTTATTGGCGCATGTGCAAGAATGAAAGTTTTTGGTTAGGTTTTTGTCTAAAAAGATCGCATGAAAAATTGTTTTAAATATTATAAATGTTTTATTTTAATTTTAAATTTATTTTAAATTATTTATTTGTCATGTAAATAAAAGAAAAATATAATTGCAAGCAAGCAACAGTTGTTTCGATGCATCAGCTGTTTCACTATCGCGCATGCGTTATTAGAGAAAGAAAGGAAAGGGGTCTTCTTTTCGTATGGCTGTCTCCGTCTATGCGCCTAAGAAACATTTTGGTCGCTTGCGCACTCTATTCTAATAACTCTATGGGTTGAGGAGGATACACACACATACATACATACATAATACACTTATAGCTACCTACATATATTCTAACGCACACATAATTTATACACAAATAAACGCAAATACACGACGCATTGAATCGCACGCTGGTTGTAGGGACCTGGGAAGTCTCATATATACTAGACTTTACTTTTATTCAGCGCTTGTGAGAAACGGGGTCGGCACATCTTTTCTTTCTATGAAGTTCGGGAATTATTATGAAATTTAAACTGGAGTTCTCCTTGATTAGACGCTTGTAAATACTATTTTAGAAGAAATATAATTTCTACGACAAAATTTCGATAATATTATAGACCAGTCCTGTATTTCTCCAGGAATTTATTTACAATGCTGATTTTGAAAGTCTCACAAAAATTGATCCAGAAAAAATAATTTAAAAAAATATTTCCAAACTTGTTTTCATGCAAGGTCGTTATAGATTATTATTAATCTAGGGATGTTATAGTATATTTTAAGCCAATAGAGAAAAAATTGAAAAATAAAAAATGCCAAACAGGTATAACCCCTTCAGCGTTTTTAAAGCGAGGTCCAATGGACCTCACTTGCCCGCTGATTTTTTTAGCTTGCCCGCCCAAGGGTTAAAAAACTTTTTACTTTAACAATTTTTAAAAAAATAATTTGACACTTTCTCAAAAAAGGGCTCTCTTTCAGAAAAGAGAATTAAATAATAAGTTTTTCTTAAAATTAGCAATTTTAATCTTTTTTTTAATTTGACATATTTATATTATGTAGGTACATTTCACTGTAAAAAGAAAGGTACTAATTTAGTACTAATTTTGGTACTAAATCGTAATTTGGTTCTATTTTAATACCGAAATTAGCTCTAATTTAGAACCTTTTTTTTACAATGTTCCCATAAATAAAAATCCCTTTATTAATCTTTTCATGTTAATTTTTTACTTACAAAATAATAGTTTTATAATTTTTACAAACTAAAAATTATTATTTCTTTTCTTATCATACTATTAAACCTTTGCGTAGGCAACCCGCTCAACATTTCTAATTAGACACTTTCTTCCACAAGTCACATTCAGCTCTTAATTTTTATGGTGGAAATAAGATTGTGGCTCATGGAAATATCGTATCGAAACAAAATAAATTTTAATTAATTCTTTATTTATGTATTTTTACTTCCCAGTAAAGAGCCCTTTTTTAAAAGAAAGCGTCAAATTATTTTTTAAAAAATTCTCAAATGTAAAAAGTTTTGTAAAAATCAGTCAAAAGTGTTGGATAATTTAAAAAGAAAGAAAAAAAGCAGAAATTTTTAGAAAAAAGGGCTCTTTATTGGAATTCTATATGAAATGAGGATTTAAGTAAAAATTTGTTTGCAATAATACGATGTTTTTACGAGCGTCAATATTATTTTCGCCATACAAATTTACAGCTTTAACGTCGAAAATAAACTTATTACACTTGTTGCCTATAGAAAGGGGTAATTATTATTTAAGAATAAAAAATTAATTAGCGACATTTTTTTGTTTAATATCTTATATATTTGAAAAATAAGAAAAAATAATTAAATTTATTATTTTCAAAAAAGTAAATAAAGTAAATAAATTTTTATAGATTAAAAAACATGATTAAAGATAATTAAACCAATATATAAGGTAAATATTGATTAATTTTTTTTTAATTATTGTAATTAATAGATTATTTTTAATTTTATCTAATATTCCAATTACTTAATAACTAATTTTCCCAAACAATAAAAAACATTTAATAAATTTTAGATATAATTTAATTTTTAAAAATTCTATATATTTGTCATTTGTAATATTTTTATTAATTACAATTTAATAAATTGTACCTCTATAAGTACTAATTAGCAATTTATATTTTTATTCTTTGTAAAAAATTATGTTAATAAAATATCAAAATTTAAAAAAAAATTTCATATTTTTATTTTTAATTTTACATATTTTATATTATGTGCATAATTATAAACAAAAATCTCATTATTTATGTCTTTTGGTTTAATTTTGGTTATTGCAAAATAATAGTTTTACAATTTTTAACAAATTATAAGTTACTGCCCTGTTTTATTATAGGGGAGAGTGGGGCAAAATGGGGTAGGCGGGTCAAATGGGGTACCTCTGTTTTTCCATGATAGGTACTTTTAATTTTTTTATCCTCGACATATATCATTCATGTTGATAAGAAACTGTTATTAATTATGAAGACACTCCAAAGAAAATTTTTTTTGAAAGTAATACAACTTTTAATATTAATTGGATCTTAATTTTAACTTTTAAGTTTTAAGCAAAAAAAATATGAATTTTTTTCAAAATTAAAGTGCTTACCAAACTTTTTGGGACAATGCATTTAATTTGGCAAGTGTGGGATCTTTTTCAGTACTTATTCTAGAGTAATTTTCAATAGAATGGATTGTTTAATTGTTTACAATAACTTGTGAACATTGCATTTTGTTTTAATATGCAGTGTGGGGCAGAATGGGGTACCTAAGTGTGGGGCATGCCGGAAGTTACGCCGTTTCATTAAAACTATTTAAAAACATTATATTATGAATATTTAAAGGTTTCCTGCAGAAGAATCGATATTTTTGTTTCGAGGCATTTCTATCGATGTTTCACTATCGATATATCGATATTTTGCAATATCCATGTTTTTTTGTTAAATTTTAATAAATATTACTTGTTTTTCCATAATAATAAAGAATCCTACTTTTTGTTTGTATTTATAATCTCATACAACAAGAATTTAATGAATTTTGAAAAAAAATTCAATGTTTTGTACAGTTATTTGATACCACCCCATTTTGCCCCACGGGTGGGGCAAAATGGGATTTTAGCACTTTCTCAGAAAATACGATATAAGTTCTTTCAAAAATTTTTTTCTCCGCTATTATCATAATTTCCTCAAAGCTAAGTGTACAAAGAAGAATTCTGAAGTTTAGCTGAATCGATTTATTCGTTTGGTTCTCTGTAAACAGCCAATTTCAAAAAGGTACCCCATTTTGCCCCACTCTCCCCTAGTGTTATGCCTTTACGTAGGCAACCCGCTTTACTCCACCTTTCTGTTGTGCGGCCATTTTTTCCCTATGCCAAGTCACCTGCAGCTGTAAATTCTCGTGGCGGAAATAAGAATGTGGCTCGTAGAAACATCATATCGAGACAAAATAAATTCTAAAAAATTCTTCATTTAATTTCGCTTCCAAGTAAAGGCCCACTTTTTTGATTAAGTGCTTCGTTTTTTTACAAAAAATTCTCAAAGTAAAAATATACAGGAAAGTGTAAGAAAGTGGGTTGGCAACACTGGACAGTTCTCGACCTCCAACACCGTTAATAATTATTTAAGAAATTTTTTATAAACAAATAATTTTTTTAATTAAGAATAATGGATTTATTCTATCACTCAGTCGTATTAAATAGTAAGAATTTGATGTAATCGATCACACTGAGTCAAGGAAGTTAAAAATTAAAAAACTCTCTTTTTACGTTTCGACAGCGCTGCCGTCCTCATCAGAAACTACAATTTATTAAAAAAAGTTAAAAATTATTACAAAATTTTGTACATTATTAATTAATTTAAAACTATAGTAATAGAAAATTACCAGAAAAAAGAATATATTTACGCGTTCACATTATTGAAATAACGTCCTACACGCTATAAGCGAAATGTGACACTGAGCAAACAAAATATTAAGAAGTAGACATATACAAGAAAAGAATCGACGATGAAGGGTCAACGACATTTAAGTAAACAGAGAAATTAGGTAATAAGAGAAATGTCAGAGCATCAAAATATGACAAGATTACGAGTATTTATTTTCATTGAGAAAGTGTGTATAATAATTATTAAGATTTTGTATGTCATCCCTTTTATTAATCGGGTTAATTTGTAAATTAATATAAATCATTTCTGATATTAAACGTTTTTTGTAATTATCCTCTCTGTCAAGAATTGCAAAATTAACAAAATCAAATCTGTGTTTTAAAGAATCACAATGATGTGCAACTATATTATCTTTAGAATTTTTATGTTCATTAATTCGGACGCCAACCATTCTTTTTGACTGTCCAACATATGAGGCAGAGCAATCATGACAATTAATCTTATAAACAGTATTAGTATTTTCAGTTTTTTTATTTTTGTCTTTATATTTAACGATAAGATTGTGACTCATATTAATATTACTAATAGGAATAGTTAAAATGTTGTAATTCTTTAATAAGAATGAAACATTCTCAAAAAGATTAGGAACATAAGGTAAAAAGACCTTGGGTAACATATTGTATATTGTCCTATTATTATTATAACTATTCCCATTAGAGTCATTGTGTTTATTTAAATTAATGAAGGAAATACGTTTTTTAGTATATTTACGGATAAATTCTATTGGATAATTATTATTCAATAGTAACTGTTCAACAAATTGAATGTTTTTTGAATGAAATTGCTTATCTGACAACCTAACAGCTCTGTCAATAAGATTGTATACAATAGCAACTTTTTGTGAAAATGGATGTTTTGATTTGTAATTGATAGTTCGTCCAGAAAATGTAGGTTTTAAGAACCAGTCAGTAATGAGCTTTTTATTGTCAATAATAATAAGAACATCTAAAAAGTTTATACTATTGTTATTTAACATTTCAAATGTAAATTGTAATCTTTCATCATAGCCGTTAAATTTATCAACAATTTCATTAATTTTGTCAGCTGGTATGCAAGTGATTATATCGTCAACGTATCTATAAAAAAACAATGGTTTAAAAGAAAGTTTAGAAAGACAAATAGTCTCAAGGTCCTCCATGACAATGTCCGCGAACAATCCAGAAATGGAAGAGCCCATAGGAGTGCCATAGATTTGTTGATAGTACTTATCATTAAACTTGAAAAAATTATTATCAAATAGAAATTGACAAGCATTAAGTAAATCATCCAAAGGAATATTTAGATTCCTAGAAATAGTTATATAACGTTTTATAATAGAATCACGAACATGCTCAGAACCAACATTTGTGAACAGAGAAGAAACGTCAAGACTAATAAGCGTATGATCAGTAGGAATGGTAAATTGTGTAATTTTCTTAATGAAATCACTACTATTTTGTATATATGATTTTGGTTTATTTATGGATTTATCCAGTAAATCAAATAAATGTTTAGATAAAAAATAAGTTGGAGAATTAACTGTAGAGACTACAGGTCTGAGAGGAACATTTATTTTGTGAATTTTTGGTAAACCATAAAGTTTTGCTATATTTGTGTTAGTTTGTGTAAGTTCAAGGTCATAATATTTTCTATTAAGAAAACCACTATTATTCCAATATTTTAAAATTTTATAAGTTTTTTTATATAAAATCTGTTGAAACTTTTATTAATAATTATAATTTAAATAATGAATTATCTAATGACATAAGAAACAAATTAATTACGAATCTTCGAAGCCATGTAAAAAGCAACTCAAAACACATTAATGTAAATGATCTTATTTATTCAAAACAACTAAATAACGCTAAATTGTTTGTCAAAAATCATAGTGAAATCTTTTTTACAATAGCTGATAAGGGAAATGTCACAGTAGCAATGGACAAAGTTGAATATATTAATAAAATTGAAAACAATTTACTTAATGATACTAAAACTTATAAAATAATTAAAAGAAACCCTCTGAATAAATTAAAAACTGACACTTATAAAATTTTAAAATATTGGAATAATAGTGGTTTTCTTAATAGAAAATATTATGACCTTGAACTTACACAAACTAACACAAATATAGCAAAACTTTATGGTTTACCAAAAATTCACAAAATAAATGTTCCTCTCAGACCTGTAGTCTCTACAGTTAATTCTCCAACTTATTTTTTATCTAAACATTTATTTGATTTACTGGATAAATCCATAAATAAACCAAAATCATATATACAAAATAGTAGTGATTTCATTAAGAAAATTACACAATTTACCATTCCTACTGATCATACGCTTATTAGTCTTGACGTTTCTTCTCTGTTCACAAATGTTGGTTCTGAGCATGTTCGTGATTCTATTATAAAACGTTATATAACTATTTCTAGGAATCTAAATATTCCTTTGGATGATTTACTTAATGCTTGTCAATTTCTATTTGATAATAATTTTTTCAAGTTTAATGATAAGTACTATCAACAAATCTATGGCACTCCTATGGGCTCTTCCATTTCTGGATTGTTCGCGGACATTGTCATGGAGGACCTTGAGACTATTTGTCTTTCTAAACTTTCTTTTAAACCATTGTTTTTTTATAGATACGTTGACGATATAATCACTTGCATACCAGCTGACAAAATTAATGAAATTGTTGATAAATTTAACGGCTATGATGAAAGATTACAATTTACATTTGAAATGTTAAATAACAATAGTATAAACTTTTTAGATGTTCTTATTATTATTGACAATAAAAAGCTCATTACTGACTGGTTCTTAAAACCTACATTTTCTGGACGAACTATCAATTACAAATCAAAACATCCATTTTCACAAAAAGTTGCTATTGTATACAATCTTATTGACAGAGCTGTTAGGTTGTCAGATAAGCAATTTCATTCAAAAAACATTCAATTTGTTGAACAGTTACTATTGAATAATAATTATCCAATAGAATTTATCCGTAAATATACTAAAAAACGTATTTCCTTCATTAATTTAAATAAACACAATGACTCTAATGGGAATAGTTATAATAATAATAGGACAATATACAATATGTTACCCAAGGTCTTTTTACCTTATGTTCCTAATCTTTTTGAGAATGTTTCATTCTTATTAAAGAATTACAACATTTTAACTATTCCTATTAGTAATATTAATATGAGTCACAATCTTATCGTTAAATATAAAGACAAAAATAAAAAAACTGAAAATACTAATACTGTTTATAAGATTAATTGTCATGATTGCTCTGCCTCATATGTTGGACAGTCAAAAAGAATGGTTGGCGTCCGAATTAATGAACATAAAAATTCTAAAGATAATATAGTTGCACATCATTGTGATTCTTTAAAACACAGATTTGATTTTGTTAATTTTGCAATTCTTGACAGAGAGGATAATTACAAAAAACGTTTAATATCAGAAATGATTTATATTAATTTACAAATTAACCCGATTAATAAAAGGGATGACATACAAAATCTTAATAATTATTATACACACTTTCTCAATGAAAATAAATACTCGTAATCTTGTCATATTTTGATGCTCTGACATTTCTCTTATTACCTAATTTCTCTGTTTACTGAAATGTCGTTGACCCTTCATCGTCGATTCTTTTCTTGTATATGTCTACTTCTTAATATTTTGTTTGCTCAGTGTCACATTTCGCTTATAGCGTGTAGTACGTTATTTCAATAATGTGAACGCGTAAATATATTCTTTTTTCTGGTAATTTTCTATTACTATAGTTTTAAATTAATTAATAATGTACAAAATTTTGTAATAATTTTTAACTTTTTTTTTTTTTTTAATAAATTGTAGTTTCTGATGAGGACGGCAGCGCTGTCGAAACGTAAAAAGAGAGTTTTTTAATTTTTAACTTCCTTGACTCAGTGTGATCGATTACATCAAATTCTTACTAATTTTTTTAATGTTCTACGCCTTTTAAAAATTTGAAAAAAATATTAACATACACTTAAAATTATATGAAATTAAAATCCGATGAGAAAATTTAGGAGCGACAATTATTTTAAAAGTTATAATGATAATTATATTGGCGCGGTGTAGTGCATCAACGCTGAACTTAGTTTTTGATAATTCCCAATGGGAAATGCCAGTGTAGTGCCGATGTTCACCACTGGTTTAGTACTCAGACGATTGTTCGGCGTATTATAGCCGAGCCTCGACAATTAGTGCTGGCGCAGTACAGAATTTTTGTTTCGCCAAAGCTTGGACAAGCCACGGCGGCAAGTGCTGGCTGAGTATAGAAAAATTGTTCACAACGCTCTTTGCCAACATTGCTTTTTTGACATAAACTTGAAAAAAATTATAAAAAAAGTTTATGAATGTTTATAAATATAAATTTATTCAAAAAATTAATATTTTACTTTTTGTTTGTTCATTTTTTATTCTTATTAAATTTAATAATAACAATTTAACACAATTGTCTAATTTTGTAAATAATAAATTATTTAAACAAATTAAAATTATAAACAAAATTTAAACTTTAATCTCAATAATAATTTGGTTCCTATTAAAATACTATTATACTTCTTACTATGAATAAAAAATTATTAAAAAATTACCACGTAATTTAAGAATTACATAAAATGTTAAATGCAATAAGTAAAGTAATTTAATTTTTAAAAATTTAGTTTAATTTATTTTATTTCAATTTATTATTTCTAACGTATCTCTATTTTTGTCTCATCTTTGACTCAATAATTGTATGTCTGAATGATACTGAGATATTAATACTTTACTGTACACATGTGTCGTTAGCATAGTGGTTAGAGCGTTAGTCTGTTAGTCCGTAGGTTGTAGGTTCGATTCCCCTCGTCAGCAGTTTTGTTTATTTTCATAGGTTTGCGATATTTCTAGATTCCAATCGTTAGGTACTAAAATATGAAAATCTAATGCACACTTACTGTAATTGTTTATTATTTAATTTTTAAATGTTATAAACAATTTTTTTCTACTTCATTTACTATATTTATTGTTAGTCTCCATCTTTAATACAATATCTTTAAGAAGAGAAATATTTTA